ACATTTCTCTGAGCGCGGGCGTCGCCTTTTGCGGGCCTACCGCACACAGAAGATAGAATTAGGTCGGGCCTGTCCCCCTTATAGGGGGATTTTGAGCAAAAAACTAAAAATACTCAAAAAATACACCCAAGAAAGTTCAAAATTACCCAGGGACGTACCCAACCCTTTGGCAACAGGTGGCATTATCAACTGGCGCTTTCAAAATAGCTGAACATCCGCTGGACGTCCAAGAAGCCCACGAAAGCGACGACCATTGCATTCTTGGCAATCGCCGCGCTTGAGGGTCAAGCGCGGCGATTGCCGACAAATCCCATCGGCTTCAACTTCCGGGAATCCCTGGCAAATCCTGATAGTCGGTACTCTTCGCTAGAGTGGCTGTCTTGGGCCGTCTTGGGGCCTCGTGGGCAGTCTTCGGGCCCTCTGGGAAGCCTCTTGGGCCGTCTTGGGGCAGTATTGGGTGCCTCTTGAGCCGTCCTGTAGCTCCGAAAAGCCGAAAAGACGAGAAGGCCAAAATTCTTCAAAAACCATCGTAAAATTCGTGGTTTTGGCCTCTCGGGGCCCTCCCATGAAGCCTTTTGGAGGCCTCTTGGAGCGTCTTGGAAGCCTCTTGGCCCGTCTGGGGCCCACCTTGAACGTCCTGGAGCGATCGTTCGGCGTCTCAGGAGCCCACGAAAGTGCCGACAGTTGCGCAGTTGGCAGCTCCCCCCGCAGGGAACCGCGAGGTCCCGACGCGATCCGCGTGTCACCCCACTCCGCTGGGCCTCCCAGGAGCCCACGAAAGTGCCGACAGTTGCGCAGTTGGCAGCTCCCCCCGCAAGGAGCCGCGAGGTCCCGACGCGATCTGCGTGTCACCCCCACTCCGCTGGGCCTCCCAGGAGCCCACGAAAGTGCCGACAGTTGCGCAGTTGGCAGCTCCCCCCGCAGGGAGCCGCGAGGTCCCGACGCAATCCGCGTGGAACCCCACTCCGCTAGGCCTCCCAGGAGCCCACGAAAGTGTCGACAGTTGCGCAGTTGGCAGCTCCCCCCGCAGGGAGCCGCGAGGTCCCGACGCGATCCGCGTGTAACCCCACTCCGCTGGGCCTCCCAAGAGCCCACGAAAGTGCCGACAGTTGCGCAATTGGCAGCTCCCCCCGCAGGGAGCCGCGAGGTCCCGACGCGATCCGCGTGTAACCCCACTCCGCTGGGCCTCCCAGGAGCCCACGAAAGTGCCGACAGTTGCGCAGTTGGCAGCTCCCCCCGCAGGGAGCCGCGAGGTCCCGACGCGATCCGCGTGTCACCCCACTCCGCTGGGCCTCCCAGGAGCCCACGAAAGTGCCGACAGTTGCGCAGTTGGCAGCTCCCCCCGCAGGGAGCCGCGAGGTCCCGACGCGATCCGCGTGTAACCCCACTCCGCTGGGCCTCCCAGGAGCCCACGAAAGTGCCGACAGTTGCGCAGTTGGCAGCTCCCCCCGCAGGGAGCCGCGAGGTCCCGACGCGATCTGCGTGTCACCCCCACTCCGCTGGGCCTCCCAGGAGCCCACGAAAGTGCCGACAGTTGCGCAGTTGGCAGCTCCCCCCGCAGGGAGCCGCGAGGTCCCGAAGCGATCTGCGTGTCACCCCCACTCCGCTGGGCCTCCCAGGAGCCCACGAAAGTGCCGACAGTTGCGCAGTTGGCAGCTCCCCCCGCAGGGAGCCGCGAGGTCCCGACGCGATCCGCGTGTCACCCCCACTCCGCTGGGCCTCCCAGGAGCCCACGAAACTGCCGACAGTTGCGCAGTTGGCAGCTCCCCCCGCAGGGAGCCGCGAGGTCCCGACGCGATCTGCGTGTCACCCCCACTCCGCTGGGCCTCCCAGGAGCCCACGAAAGTGCCGACAGTTGCGCAGTTGGCAGCTCCCCCCGCAGGGAGCCGCGAGGTCCCGACGCGATCGCGTGTCACCCCCACTCCGCTGGGCCTCCCAGGAGCCCACGAAAGTGCCGACAGTTGCGCCGCAGCTCCCCCCCGCAAGGAGCCGCGGGTCCCGACGGATCTGCCGTGTAACCCCCACTCCGCGGGCCTCCCAGGGCCCACGAAAGTGCCGACAGTTGCGCAGTTGGCAGCTCCCCCCGCAGGGAGCCGCGAGGTCCCGACGCGATCTGCGTGTCACCCCCACTCCGCTGGGCCTCCCAGGAGCCCACGAAAGTGCCGACAGTTGCGCAATTGGCAGCTCCCCCCGCAGGGAGCCGCGGGGTCCCGACGCGATCTGCGTGAAACCCCCACGCTGGACCTCCCAGGAGCCCACGAAAGTGCCCACAAAGTGTGAGACAGCTGCGCAGTTGGCAGCTCCCCCCGCAGGGAGCCGCGAGGTCCCGACGCGATCTGCGTGCCCCCCCACTCCGCTGGGCCTCCCAGGAGCCCACGAAAGTGCCGACAGTTGCGCAGTTGGCAGCTCCCCCCGCAGGGAGCCGCGAGGTCCCGACGCGATCTGCGTGTCCCCCCACTCCGCTGGGCCTCCCAGGAGCCCACGAAAGTGCCGACAGTTGCGCAGTTGGCAGCTCCCCCCGCAGGGAGCCGCGAGGTCCCGACGCGATTGCGTGTCCCCCCACTCCGCTGGGCCTCCCAGGAGCCCACGAAAGTGCCGACAGTTGCGCAAGTTTAGCTCCCCCCCCAGGGAGCCCGCGAGGTCCCGACGCGATCTGCGTGTACCCCCACTCCGCTGGGCCTCCCAGGAGCCCACGAAAGTGCCGACAGTTGCGCAGTTGGCAGCTCCCCCCGCAGGGAGCCGCGAGGTCCCGACGCGATCTGCGTGTACCCCCACTCCGCTGGGCCTCCCAGGTGCCGACAGTTGCGCAGTTGGCAGCTCCCCCCGCAGGGAGCCGCGAGGTCCCGACGCGATCTGCGTGTCCCCCCACTCCGCTGGGCCTTGCCGACAGCGCAGTTGGCAGCTCCCCCCCGCAGGGAGCCGCGAGGTCCCCGACGCGCGCGTGCGTGGGTCCAGGAGCCCACAAATGCCGACAGTTGCGCGCTCCCCCCGCAGGGAGCCGCGAGGTCTCACCGATCGCGTGTCACCCCACTCCGCTGGGCCTCCCAGAGCCCACGAAATGCCGAAGTTGCACAGTTGGCAGCTTGCGAGGTCCCGAGTTGTCACCCCACACCGCAGCCTTGCCGACAGTTCGCAGTTGGAGCTCCCCCCGCAGGGAGCCGCGAGGTCCCGACGCGATTCTGCGTGTCCCCCCACTCCGCTGGGCCTCCCAGGAGCCCACGAAAGTGCCGACAGTTGCGCAATTTGGCAGCTCCCCCCGCAGGGAGCCGCGAGGTCCCGACGCGATCTGCGTGTAACCCCCACTCCGCTGGGCCTCCCAGGAGCCCACGAAAGTGCCGACAGTTGCGCAGTTGGCAGCTCCCCCCGCAGGGAGCCGCGAGGTCCCGACGCGATCCGCGTGTAACCCCACTCCGCTGGGCCTCCCAGGAGCCCACGAAAGTGCCGACAGTTGCGCAGTTGGCAGCTCCCCCCGCAGGGAGCCGCGAGGTCCCGACGCGATCCGCGTGTCACCCCACTCCGCTGGGCCTCCCAGGAGCCCACGAAAGTGCCGACAGTTGCGCAGTTGGCAGCTCCCCCCGCAGGGAGCCGCGAGGTCTCGACGCGATCTGCGTGTCCCCCTGCCCCGCTGGGCCTCCAGGAGCCCACGAAATGGCCGACAGTTGCGCAGTTGGCAGCTCCCCCCGCACGGAGCCGCGAGGTCCCGACGCGATCTGCGTGTCACCCCCACTCCGCTGGGCCTCCCAGGAGCCCACGAAAGTGCCGACAGTTGCGCAGTTGGCAGCTCCCCCCGCAGGGAGCCGCGAGGTCCCGACGCGATCTGCGTGTCACCCCCACTCCGCTGGGCCTCCCAGGAGCCCACGAAAGTGCCACCTGCGCCCCCCAGAGGGCGCCGCGAGGAGGAGGTAGGAGGCAGGAGGGAGGTAGGCGGGAGGACGGGGCGACCAGAGTGCTCTATTCAAAACGAGTACCCAACCAAAGAGGGTTGGGAAATAGTCAAAAGATCGTCCCCGGTAGAGGGACAGGACCGACTTAAGCCCACCGCACACAGAGGGTAGAAGCAGGCTTGGCGGCTGCCGAGCCTCGGGCGGCAGCTCCAGGAGCCCGCCGGAGGCCTTGCTGACGATCCAGCTGAAATTGAGGTGGGCGTTGCGGAGCTCCTGGAGCCCGTCTCTTGTTCGGGGATGGACAGAAACCCCCGTAGCACGACCTCGCCCTCTCGAGAACCGAAAACGGACAATTCACCAGTCGACGTGTCAGGGTGGGGGATCTGTCCACCCCCGACACCTCCTCAGGACGAAGGCAGAATCGAGCCCAAATCGGACCGATGTGAATCGGAGATCTCTGAGAATCGGTCACTGCACCGACCTTGCAGGCATGCTGCAGCGGGTTTTCGCGTGGGCTTCTGTCAATGCAGAACCCCGAAACGGCGAGCGAAAAACGAGGTGAATTTCACGTGGACTTGTTGTAGTCTTCATTCCTGGCCAAGAAAATCCGCACGCAATTCCCTTCGAAATCCGGAACGAAATTCTCCAGGACAATCCGGGCCCACCCCATCGTTTTCCGAACGATTCCGCTCTGCGACGTTGGCGCCATGAGATCGGCGGCTTTGGGTTTGGAAGATGTATCGGGCGCCGCGATCGTTCGGAGCGTTCCGGAACGCTCTGATTAAGTCGGGCGTGCCCCTCTACAGGGGGATTTTCAACGAAAAATAAAAAATACAAAAAATATTCAAAAGATGCCCAAAAATACTCCAAAAATGGTCCCCAGACTATTTTTTTACTATTCTTGAATATTCCCCCTGTAGAAGGACAGGCCCGACTTAACGCTCTGAGAGCGTTCTGGAAAGCTCTGGGCCGCTTCATGTCGATCCGAGTCCTGCCTGAACCCCTCCGTCACGTCACGATTCGCGCCGGCGCCGTCTGGGAACGAGCCCTCCTGAGGCAGTCCCAGGCGGCGCCCGCACGAAGCCTCACGCGCCCGGCCCCCCCCCTCCCGCCTCCCCAGTCCCGCCCGCTATCGCCAGGGGTGAAAGAAAACCGGACATGCGTTGTCGTGATTGTTGTTGTGCGGGCGATAGAACAACCCAGTCTCATGTGCAGCAGAAGTAAAAACGTAAACCACTGAACTACACTTTAACCACTAAAACGTAAACAACTAAACTTAAAATGCGTTGTCGTGATTCTGTCCACACGGGGAAGTCCCGACCCATTCCCCGGGTCGGGCGCTTCCTCCCGAGTCCTTCTTGGACGGTCCCCGGGCCCAGCGGGGGCCCCTGGAGGCCGCAGAGGGCCCAAAAAACCTCCCGTCGTGACTCCTTCACGGCGTGGTCATGTCTTCATTTCTCCTCCTCCTCCTCCTCCTCCTCCTCCTCCTTTTCCTCCTCCTCCTCCTGTTCCTCCTCCTCCCCCTCCTGCTCATGCTCCTCCTCCTCCTCCTCCTCTTCCTCCTCCTCCTCCTCATCCTCCTCCTCCTCCTTCTCCTGTCTCCGCGGCCGGCTCTCTTCTTTCCCTCTTCCTCCTGCCCGCGGGACAGTTCGCAACGCGCCGCAGTCCGGGCTGCTAGGACGCGCGAGCGGATCGCCTCTGCCGCGCCGCGACGGAAAAGTTACGCTACCGAGGAACCCCACATACTTATAGCTGAAGTGAAGCATGTGGGAATGATGTTGGTGGCCGTTTCCCCGCCGATACCGTTGGTGACGCCACTCGAAAGGAGAGGTGGAGAGGAGAAGCGCCGCGCCAGCCACACTTTGCGAGCCCGAAACAGATAGCGACCGCACCCCCAAAGCACCCCCTTGTGGCATCGAGAAAGTGCCACGACTGCCAAGCTTTGCGAAGCCGAAACGGATAGCGACCGCACCCCTGGCGCACCCCCGATGGCATCGAGAAAATACCTCGCCTGCCACGCCTTGCGAGCCCGAAACGGATAGCGACCGTACCCCCAGCGCACCCCCTTGTGGCGTCGAGGAAGTGTCACGCCTGCCACGCTTTGCGAGCCCGAAACGGATAGCGACCGTACCCCCAGCGCACTCCTTCGGCGTCGAGAAGTTGCCACGCCTGCAACGCTTTGCGAGCCCAGAACGGATAGCGACCGCACCCCCAGCGCACCCAGTGTGGCGTCGAGAAAATGCCACGCCTGCCAACGCTTTGCGAAGCCGAAACGGATAGCGACCGCACCCCCGGCGCACCCCCTGTGGCATCGAGAAAGTACCGCGCCTGCCACGCGTTGCGAGCCCGAAACGGATAGCGACCGTACCCCCAACGCACCCCCTGTGGCGTCGAGGAAATGTCACGCCTGCCACGCTTTGCGTGGCCGAAACGGGTAGCGACCGCACCCCCAACGCACCCCCTGTGGCGTCCAGAAAGTGCCACGCCTGCCACACGTTGCGAGCCCGAAACGGATATCGACCGCACCCCCAGCGCCCCCCCCTTATGGTGTCCAGAAAATGCCACGCCTGCCAGGCTTTGCGGCAATGTCGTGGACTGAGAGACCACCCCCTGCGCGCACCCCCTATGGTGTCCAGAAAGTGCCACGCCTGCTAGGCTGTGCGACAGTGTCGTGGATAGCGGCCGCGCTGAGAGACCACCCCCCGCGCACCCCCCTATGGTGTCCAGAAAGTGCCACGCCTGCTAGGCTTTGCGACAGTGTCGTGGATAGCGGCCGCGCTGAGGGACCACCCCCTGCGCACCCCCTATGGTGTCCAGAAAGTGCCACGCCTGCTAGGCTTTGCGACAGTGTCGTGGATAGCGGCCGCGCTGAGAGACCACCCCCTGCGCACCCCCTATGGTGTCCAGAAAGTGCCACGCCTGCTAGGCTTTGCGACAGTGTCGTGGATAGCGGCCGCGCTGAGAGACCACCCCCTGCGCATGGTGTCCAGAAAGTGCCACGACTGTTAGGCTTTGCGACAGTGTCGTGGATAGCGTTTTCGCGCTCAGAGACCACCCCCTGCGCACCCCCTATGGTGTCCAGAGGTGCTGTGCTGTGCTGTGCTGTGTAGTGCTGAGGTGTGCTGTGCTGAGGTGCTGTGCTGTGCTGTGCTGTGCTGTGCTGTGCTGTACTGAGATGAGCTGTGCTGTGCTGTGCTGTGTACGTGCTGTGTGTCAATGTGCTGTGTGCTGTGCTGTGCTGTGCTGTGCTGAGCTGTGCTGTGCTGTGATCTGCTGCACTATGGTGCGCTTGCTATGCTGTGCAGTGCTGTGCTGAGAGCGGCCGCGCTGAGAGCCCACCCCCTGCGCACCCCCTATGGTGTCCAGAAAGTGCCACGCCTGCTAGGCTTTACGACAGTGTCGTGGATAGCGGCCGCGCTGAGAAACCACCCCCTGCGCACCCCCCGATGGTGTCCAGAAAGTGCCACGCCTGCTAGGCTTTTCGACAGTGTCGTGGATAGCGGCCGCGCTGAGAGACCACCCCCTCCCTGCGCACCTCCCTTATGGTGTCCAGAAAGTGCCACGCCTGCTAGGCTTTGCGACAGTGTCGTGGATAGCGTTTTCGCGCTGAGAGACCACCCCCTGCGCGCACCCCCTATGGTGTCCAGAAAGTGCCACGCCTGCTAGGCTTTGCAACAGCGTCGTGGATAGCGGCCGCGCTGAGAGACCACCCCCTGCGCACCCCCTATGGCGTCCAGAAAGTGCCACGCCTGCTAGGCTTTGCGACAGTGTCGTGGATAGCGGCCGCGCTGAGAGACCACCCCCTGCGCACCCCCTATGGTGTCCAGAAAGTGCCACGCCTGCTAGGCTTTGCGACAGTGTCGTGGATAGCGGCCGCGCTGAGAGGCCACCCCCTGCGCACCCCCTATAGTGTCCAGAAAGTGCCACGACTGCTAGGCTTTGCGACAGTGTCGTGGATAGCGTTTTCGCGCTCAGAGAGCACCCCCTGCGCACCCCCTATGGTGTCCAGAGGTGCTGTGCTGTGCTGTGCTGTGTAGTGCTGAGGTGTGCTGTGCTGAGGTGCTGTGCTGTGCTGTGCAATGCTGTACTGAGATGAGCTGTGCTGTGCTGTGCTGTGTACGTGCTGTGTGTCAATGTGCTGTGTGCTGTGCTGTGCTGTGCTCTGCTGTGCTGAGCTGTGCTGTGCTGTGCTCTGCTGCACTGTGGTGCGCTTGCTATGCTGTGCAGTGCTGTGCTGAGCTGTGCTGTGCTGAGCTAAGCTATGCTGTGCTGAGGTGCTATGCTGTGCTGTGCAGTGCTGTGCTGAGCTGTGACGCGCTGTGCTGCGCTGTGATGTGCTGTGTGAAAGGAGAGGGAGGAGGAAGGTGGTGTGTGAGGGCCGCGGGTGCGACGAGGCAGGGAAGAAAACCAGAACCCCACTAAGCATGTGGGAAAAAAGTCTGGGACGGTCTCCTGGTTCTCCAGCACGACCCCGTCCATGGTCGCGGCCACCGCCAGCACGTCTCCGAGGGCGTCCAGCACCGGGCGCACTGGCAGCTGGCCCAGCTCCCGGCCGCTGGACGACGCACCCTGGAAACCGACCAGCTGGCGCACCAGATGCTCCGCCACCTCTGGAGGGCGAAAACCCAGACCCCCTCGGATCATGAAAAACACACGACGGTCGATGTTTTGCTACTTTCGGCCCCTGGGGTCCCTCGCCGGGCCTCGGGACCGCCAGAGAACAACTCATGATGAAAAGCCGGACCCACGGAACGGGTCGAGACCTCTGACAGCCGTCGCTGTGACAGAAGCATGACGTCGGGGGTCAGGGAAAGCGGCACAAGCCTGCACCTTCGGAGCTCCGCGCGGACTTCCTGGATCGGCGCCGAACCCCCCTCCGGCTTGATGGGCCTGTTTTCCACCACCACCATAAGTTGGAGGGGTGAGGAAGGTGGAGGACGAGGAGGACCTCTTTGGACCTCTTTGCTCTCGGACCTCTGTCCCTCAGTCTTCGTCCTGGCTTACGGACATCTGCCGTCAATCGGAAGACTCTGAATCCTCCCGCGGCGCCCGCACTTGCTCAGCCGCGCCTCTCGCAGCAGCCAACAATCTCTGAACCTTAGCCTGCAAGCGCGACTCATTGGCAGCACAACGCAGCTGCTCCCGCTCGTGCCCGTCGTTGCGGGCGCGGGTCACCGCGGGAGGCTCGGCGGGGCCCCCCCCAAGCTCGCTGTTCTCCTGCGACCCCCAGGCCTCGTGGGCCGACACGACACGACTCTCATCTCTGCGAGCTATGGCCATCTTGATGGCTCTGGGGGGCCCCTCACGCCGAGGGAAAAGACCTAATTCAATTCGACGGATATTCTCTGCACCGTTCGGTGTGAGACCTCTACACTTCTGACGCAAGGACCTCGAGTCCACTGTCGCATACATACCGCAAACCGAACAAATCTGCAAGAACCAGCGGTCAACCCTGGTGATCGTGTGGGAATCGTGGATCTCAAGGTCCACTCCTTTAAACGGCTGGAACTCTGGGACCTCCGACCTGCTTTTACCAGGGGGCCCAGCACACGGGGAGACCGAAAAACGCAAAAACCTGGCTCCAGTCACAATCACATCGCACTGAGAGCACCTCCATTTGCTTCCTACTCGCTCTAGCTGGTGGGGAGAATCTCGAATCAATCTCTCCTGCTTTAAAAGTCTCTTACTGGCTGGGGCTCTACCTGCACGCTCTGACGTCTCCGACGCAGCGGCAAGTAGCAAAGATCTGCGCGCTCTCTTGCGCACGAGATGTGCGATCGCATCTATCTTGTCAGTCTCTGGAACGCTCCCCACCAGCCCGAACTCCCAAGCCAGCTCCGCCCCGACTCCCGCCCAGACATCCGCAGCTAAATTCCCAGCTGCCATGTAAAGCTGCTGCGGCGATTCAAGCAGCTCTGGCGTCTCGTCCAGATGGGACGCCGTCCACACTACCTTCACAACTCTGTCTGGGTAAGTCTGCCAGGCCACTCTGGCTCGGGCCCAAAGGTCCTCATTGGGACCCGTGGCTTTCGGGTGCTCCAGGCGGTATTTCCAGGTCTTCGCGATCGTCCTATGGTCGGTAATGAAACTAAAATCTGCGTGGCACTCCTCGAGTGCCAAAGCGAACGCTAAAATCTCCGAGCGGGGGACCGTTTGCCTGCGACCGAGGAGTGGGATTGCTACAGCTCTGCCCACAATCCACTCCCCGTCTCGCTCCTGCAATGCTACAATCGCTGATCCACAGCGGCGTCTGCGAGGGTCCGAGGAGTGCTTGCCTCCTGAGCCGTCGCCGAAAATGTGGATCTCACCTTCGTGCTGACACTCCCCCCAGTCCCCCAGCTCACCAAACCGAACCTCCCTCCCCTCTAACAGTTCATCATTAAACCTAGGGTGCGTGAGAGAGGCTGGCGGCAATCCTCGAAGCCACAGCGCAGGCTCTGCTTCTGCCTGCGCCATCGCAGCCGGCAGCAGGTCCGCCGACTTGGTGAAGTCCTCGTGGTCCACGTTCTTGGGGCATAGCCAGATCCGATGCATCAGGGTCTCGTCCTCCTCCTTGCACCTGTCGCACTTCTTACAGTCCAGGAGGTATCCTTGGTCGACAGATCGCTGCTTCGGCCACTGTCCTCCCGCGACCACGGTGATGTTGGCCCCGACCATGTCCAGCTGCCCCTGCTTCTCGAACCTTCGCTGCTCCGCGCGGATCTGCCAGACATCCGCTCCATCCTCCAAACCTTCACCATGTGGGTGTGCTGCAGCAGCCTTCCAGTATTGAGCTACGATGTCGTCCTCGAGGTCGTCTACCAGCTGCTGGAAGCACCCCGTGTTGTCGAAAGTGCCGTCCGTGACGGACGGGATGTCCCACTGTTCTGCTGGATCCTCATCTGCTCCGACTGGTCGCATCCACACCGTAGCCGTTGGTGCGTACCAGCCCACGTCCATGATGGTCGCCTGCACCGCTCCGACTGGTCCGCGAACTCCTCTCCATCGTTTTGGCCCAAGCTTTGACAGACGGTCGAATATCCGCGGCCATGCCTTGACGATCCTGGCGTGGTTCTCGGGGTGGCGCTGCCACAGGTTGATCCACTCCTTGACCACGGCAACTCGCATTGCCACCCCTGGGTCGCCCTTCCACAGCTCGACCGCCAGTGTCGTCGTCAAGCATCGCCCACGCGCCTTACCTCCTGCCACCTGTCCAGCTTGTCGTCGTAGCCGTTGAAGCTCATGAACTGCGAACCCGAAGGCTTGGTGGCCGTACACTGCCTGTGGTACTGCTCCCGCCTTCCATAAACCTTTGCTCTCTTTGGCCAGGGCCGCAGTACGTCGCAGCCTCACAATCTTGGCGAACCTGTGCTTCGCCCGCTTTGCTCGCTGCTTCGCTTTCGTCGTAACCCTTTTCCTCCCAGCCGACGTGTCCAGGCCTAGGTCCACTGCCTCCGTGACTGCGTAGACGGGGATCTGCCTCTTCCTCATGGACTTGGCCGTCCGCTTCACGTCCTTCGGGTGGGTGCCTATCAGGACAGACTTGCTGGAGATCTTCATCCTCTGATCCTTGAGGCCGTCCGTGATGATCTCCGTGACCTGGATGATGCCATCGCCGACTGTTTGCCTGCTACCTTCTTGCCTCGCAACCGTGTCATCCACGAATGTCCACAGCGCAGCTTGTGGCGCCCTCCGATGCGCCCTCTCTAGTATCGGGTGCAAGAACAGCTTCGCCAACCCCACGCCTCTGGCAGAGCCTGCTACCAAAGACCTCGTGGACCAGATCGCCTCGCTGAGGATGTTACGCTCCTGCAGGTACCTCGGCCCCACGAAAGCGGTGATCTCTAACGCCACCACCACTGCGGGAAAGTCCACTCTGAGGGCGATCTGGGACAGGATGACGAGCGAGACCGTGTCGTAGAACTTCTCGATGTCCAACAGTAGCGTCATCGCCGATGCCCCGAGCTCTGCCCCCACTTCGTCCAGGCACGCCCTGAGGAGCCCCGCACGGAGGGCTGAGCTGCCTTTGAGGGCTGTGTCCCAATGGGCCGATACCGAATCATTCCATTCTGAGCAGCAACCTCCCCGAGCCCTTGACCAGAGCTTGATGGGAAGGGCCAGCATTCCGAGTACTCGATCTCCTCCTTTGGGCTTGGCCGCCAGCGCGCACTTGGTGGCTGCCCATTGCCTCGGCCATGTGACCTCCTGCTCGCAATACTGCAAGATGTGAAGTAACCATATTCTTGCATGTCTGGGGGCCCGAGCCAGATCGTGCGGACCAAGGTGATCAACTCCTTTTGCTTTGGCCGACGACGACGCGGCGATGGCCCCGTCGAGCTGCTCCAGCGTGAGGGGCTCCAGCACGTGCTCCCAGGACTGATCGCGGAGCCTGCCCAGCTGGTACGCGATGTCCTCCTTCGTATCGACTGGGTCCGTCCATATGCGCTCCCACTCGTGCTTCCTGATGCCAATGAGGGCGTCTGGGTCCGCGATGCCCTCCATCTCCTCCGTGCACAGCTCGAACCTCGGCGCCTGCTGCTCCTTCACATGCCGATGGAGGAGGCCAACTTTGCCTGCCCATGCCTTCTTGGCCCACGCCGTGAAGTTCTTCTGCTGCGCCGTAAAGCCACGCGACTGCGCGGTGGCGAGGTGGCCCTCTGCGTGCATGACTAAGTTGCCGAGCTGCCCCTCTTCCAAGTCCGCCAAGTCGCCCAGCATCTCGTAGAACATCTGCTGCTGTGCTGCGCCGATCTTCCTGCCGAAGACCTGGCTCTGATCCATCTGCTGCAAGACCCTGCCCTGCGCCTTTGCCTCCGCCAGGCACTTTGCCTGTTGCCTGCCGTCAGTGCCGTTGGTGTACAGCGCCTGGTACCTGATGAGGATGGCGTTGAGGATGCCCCACTGCTCCGCTGGCCCGAACTTCATGTGGGTGCGACCTGGTGTCGAACGCGCCTTGACCCACTTGACCTCGAAGCCCGAAGCCCGCCCTCGGTAGTGCTCGGCCTCCTCCTCGTCGATCTCATCCGTCACGATCGCCGCCTCCTCCAGACAGGTGACCCAGTCGCCGTACATCCTCGTCGCTGCCGCCTCTGCCTCGCGATGCCTGGCGTCTCGGATGATGAGCTTGTCGTCCCAAGACTGGAGCTCCTGCGACAAGTGCCAGCTTGAGGCCCTCCGAGATGCGGCGGGCCAGGCAGCAGGGAACGCCAGCACCCCATTATCCTCCATGCTTGGAGGGCCGACAACCTCGGGCGGCTCAACGCTCACGAGTGCGTGTCATCCTTGCGCAGGGGCCATGCTAATGTTCTCTGTATCGTTCCAATTTCAACGGATGATCCCCGAAGGGAATCCAGGAGGAGGAGGAGGAGGAGGAGGAGGAGGAGAAGGACGAGGAGGAGGAGGGGGAGGGGGTCCCAGGACCCCCTCCCCTCCAACTCATGGTGGTGGCGGTGGAAGACAGGCCCATCACGGCTCTCTCTCTCTGCCTCGAACCTCGGCGACGCGGTCCAGGAGCCGGCGCGCGTCGGCCAGGGCGGGCAGCAGCTCGGCGAACTCGGCGATGAGGGCGGCGGGCACCTGCTGCGCCACGAGGTATGTCCACAGCCACTGCCGCGGGGGCGCGCCCCAGGGATCTCGGGAGCGGTGGGATGCGGACATCTGCTCGCCCGCGCGGGCGGACATATATACATATATATATATATATACATATATATACAAATATATACATATACATATATATATATATATATATACATAAATATACATACAGATATACATACATACACACATGCATACATACATACATACATACATACATACATACACACATATACACACATACATACATACATACATACATACATACATACATACATACATACATACATACATACATACATACATACATACATACATACATACATACATACACATACATACATACATGCATACATACATACATACATACATACATACATACATACAACATACATACATGCATGCATGCATGCATGCATGCATGCATGCATACATACATACATACATACATACATACATACCTATACATATACACACATACATACATACATACATACATACATACATACATACATACATACATACATACATACATACATGCATGCATGCATGCATGCATTACATACATACATACATACATACATACACACACATACATGCATACATGCATGCATGCATGCATGCATGCATACATACATACGTACATGCATGCATGCATGCATGCATACATATATACATACATACATACATACATACATACATACATACATGCATACATACATACATACATACATACATACATACATGCATGCATGCATGCATGCATATATACATACATACATACATATATACATACGTGCATGCATACATACATACATACATGCATGCATACATACATGCATACATGCATACATGCATACATGCATACATGCATACATACATACATACATGTATGTATATATACAACCACACACCCTGAGGTCCGACGCTGCGGAAAAAGTGCAACATCGCGGAAAATCACCACCAAAACCCTGGCCACCACCGCTCTACAGCAGAGCCGGATAGATCTGCGATCGCCATGGGTCCTGGGGCCCGGAGAGAAAAAAGACAAGGAACAAAAAAACAAAAACAGCACCAGCACAACAACAACAAGAAAACGGCAACAACAACAACAACAACAACCACAACAACAACGACGACGACAACAACAGCAACAATAATAACAAACACAACAACAATAATAACAACAACAACAAACACAACAACAAAAACGCCCGGCGAGAACCCACACACACACACAATCAAAAAAACGCGCGGGTCTAAGGGTCCACCGCTCCTCGAAATCTCAGGGCACGGCTCCAGGGCGGTGGCTCAGAGTGAGGGGGGCGAGAAGGGTCCGACACCGTCCCTGGGTGCGCTGCTGCAGTGGGATTCCGCGGCGCGGACTCTGCTTGCCCCTGTTGCGGTCGCCGTCCTCGCCCGCGGCCCAGCCCGCGACCCACCCCGCGACCCACCCCGCAACCCACCCCGCAATCCACCCCCGACCCTTCCGTGACCCTTCCGCGGCCCGCACGCGACCCGCTCCCCTCGACCCACCCCCCTCACTGGAGAAACCCGAAGGTACCGATCCCGCCACTCCCCAGACCTCTCCTCGTGAGCGTTCTGACCAGGACTTGGACTCGCGAAGCCAACGGTGGCGACGAGGGCGTCCGAGGAAGCCCGACGAGGGGAAAACGGGGGGGCAAGGGTAGCGGCATGGGTACCCTGTCCTCGGGGGCGGCCAAGAGGGGGTGTCCAAGAGGGGGGGTGCAAATCATGGCCGGCGGCATGTGCGCGGCCCAAAGGGGGGGGGGGGGCCAGGGACGGAATGAAATAAGAAGAGGCGCCATGAAATCTGAGGAAAAATCGTGGCCCACGCCATGAAATCCCCCCCCCCAGTCATCACCCCCCTCTTTGCCGCCCCCGACCTGTCCTCCTCCGACTCACTCTCCTCCGCAAGAGCGGGGCGCTGCGGTATCTCCGTGCCGCGTGCTCAGCTCGGAGGCGCGCGCCGCCCCAGGGGAGGGGCGCGCGGCACTGCCGCCGGGAGCTCCCTTGGGCAGCGTGCGCCGCCCCGCCGGCTCTGGCCCGCCACGCCTCGGAGCGGCGCGCCGTCCGCTGCCCGCTCTCGGGGGCTGGGCGAGGGCTGGCAGATCCGCGGCTGCCGAAACGGTCTTCCCCGGAAGAGAAAAAAAAACAAAAAACAAAAAAAACTGGCACGAGACCCAGCGCAGAAGGTAATCAACGGGCTGCTTCCCGAAGAGGGCCACCACTTCCCGGAGCTCCGCTCGAGCGGCCACGGGTCTGCCAGCCCTCGCCGGGCTCCTGCCCGCGCCCCGAGCGGCCACGGCCCGCGCCTCCCCGAGCCTGCCGCGCGGACATCCCCTGGCGGCAGGGGAGCCCCGGGTCGCATCGACGACTCGGCAGCCAGGTTTAGGTCGGGCCCGTCCCCCGCAGGGGATTTTGGGCGAAAAACCATAAAAGTACTCCATAAATACCCCAAAATCGCCCCAAAAGAGTCAGAGGATGACCCCCCGACTATTCTTGGACTATGTTTGAATATTCCTCCTGTAGAGGGACAGGCCCGGCTTAGAGCCAGGGCGGGAGAAGCCGAACCGGCGGGCACTGGAATCCGCACCGGAAGCCGAAGTCTCCTCGACTGGGGATCGGGATCTCCGTGGACACCGAGATCGAAGCTTTGGACGCCCGAAATGGGTACGGAAAAAACGGGTACAATGCCCAACAACAAATGTTGTCCCAAACCAACAGCGGCCGCTGTTGGGCAGGCGGCCTTCTGTCTCGAATGGACACAGGCCGCGGCGGCGTGGACAGCGAATCCTGTTCAAGACGAACAGGAACTGCTGTTGGGCATTGTACCCATTCTTTCCGTGCCCATTTCGGGCGTCCAGAGAAGCGCGCCGAGTCGGGCGAGTCGCAGCGAACCCAGGCGGGCACCTGCGACGTGGCCTCCGCGGGCTCCGCGCGCGCCGCCTCCCCGAAGCGCGCCAGCGCCTGGCAGAGCGGCGGCGCCGCGGCCGCGCAGGCGCGCGCCGCCCGCAGCGAGGCCGCCAGCGCGGCCAGCGCGCGCGCGGAGGCGCACGCGCCGGCGGCGAGGGGCCGCTCACCTCGCTGAAGGCTCTGACGTCTCTCGTCTGTGGGAGTACCAGGTGGGAGCTGCCCTGGAACAGGAACACACCGCGCGCGTTGGAGTACCATGTGGGACCTGCTGTCGGAGCACTATGTGGGACCTGCTCCAGACCTGCCCTTTCTCCGACCTTGCACCGCGCCGAACGCAACGGCCGCGTTGTCCATAGCCGCATCCACCCCGAGAAAGTCTCTATGGACGTCATGGCACCCAATGTGTCCACAGACGCTTTTGGCTTACACGTGAGAGCGGTATTTGGCATCGGCTCCAGATCTTGGTCTTCTAGAAGCAGGCAGGTTTGGCCGTCCACCTCATCTGATAGCGCGAACAGGTCGACTACACGCAAGAGTGACCCCAGGCACGGGTGACCTTTGGTGCGCGGCGTCCGGTGGCCGCGGCGGGCCCAACTCCCGGCGCGCGGGCCGGTGCTGGGGCCACCCCTGTGAGCCCGCACCCAGGGTGACTCCAGCGAAAGGCCACTCTTGAGCAGAGCCGAACAGGGGGGTGGGGCAGGGGGGGAGGGTTTCTTAGAAGGAGGCTGCTTCTTAGAAGGCGCCCGCCCTACACCTACAGGTAGGGCCCGCGCCTTCTGCGAAGCAGGGGTACGCAATGGTGCTTCTCAGAAGCCCTCCCCCCTGCCCCCACCCCCCTCTGCGCGTGGCTGACCGCAAACTCGGGCGCTGCAATTATTTCACAACCGGCGCGCTCGCCCGGGATTCTTGCTGCCAGCAATTCGCACTGCCGTCACCCAGCTTGCCCGAGCGCGTGGTCCCGTTCGAGAAATGGCGCGGCAAAAAGACGGACGGGGTCTAGGGCTCAAGGCTTCGTGTTTCGCAATGTTGCATTTTATCAACTACGTGGGATCTCAGGGGACTTATGCTGTCCCTCGACTCGCGCTGGAGCTTCCACACGAGTT